GTTATCGCTGCCGTTATCTTAAAAGTTTCTTGTTTTTCGTATTTGATCGATATTCACTGAGATGTAGGGGCGATAGGCCGGTCCAACCCCTTAAAGCCCGGTTTTCCTCGTTCTTTACGAAATCGAAGGAGGAAGACGGTCGTCTGTTCTTTACGCTCAGTCCGTTCGTCATCCCGAAAATAGTCCGTTCTTTATCATGCCAGAGTTTATTCCCAACACGTGCCCTACTGGTAGCTGGTATTGCTCGACTGGTACTGGGTCCTGCACTACTAAAGCGACGGTGACTTGTTTTGTGCTACAAGAACAGCGGTAGTTTGTCTTGTATTCCGGACAGATCCAGCGTAACTCTGTCGGTCTGAACCACCCAGAGAAGAGAATGAGAAGAAAGTTCTCCATACACTTCCTAATCTAGAATACAGTGCATAAGTAAAATATAGAACTTAGTAATATGGTGTTTTAACATCAGTTCAGTATCAAATTATTAGTAATTTTGTAAAAAAATGAATTTGAGTTGCGTCATCAAAAAAATAGAGCAGCTGCTCTTTGAAATGTTGCTCATGCGATCCCGGTGAACTCGAAAATTGTTTTAGTGCAAAGTTTGGGTGAAGCCGAATGCAGAGCAGCAGTTTTTGTACGGCAATAACGTACTAAAATCGGGGATGAGTCGGATGACTGAAGGTGCAGAAGCTCATCAGGGAGTGGTAGTGTACAGTATGAATGATCTGCCACTTGGATTTGGAGTCACCGCAAAGGTTTGTCAATTCTTTTTATGCGTTGTGTGCTGTATAACAGCGTTACAAAACGCATATTGTCACGGGGTTGTCTGTGTGTGTGTGTATTTGTGTGTGCGTCCCACATTTTGTCCCGCACTTTCAACTCGAGAACCACAAAAGCTAGGCGGCTGAAATTTTGGTATAGTGCTCTATTTGTCTCGCACTTTTAACTCGGGAACCACAAAAGCTAAGCGGCTGAAATTTTGGTATAGTGTTCCCCGCCAACGGGTGACGCGGCAAATTTAAATTCAGCCTTCCTGTACCCGCGGGTAACTCGTACA